TATAACACACCTAACACATGTTTCTTAGAGTTTTGAATATCTTGCATTCAGTCTAGCATATAGTATTTTCTATTTAAAGGAAGGAAAGGCAAGAGGGGGGAAGGAAAGGAGGGAGGGAGAGAAGAAGGAATGAGACTCAGATTTAGTGAATCAAAAGGGTACATGTATCCCAGAAGTTAGGGAATATGGATCCAAAACATGCACAGGTTCACACAAGCAAGGAAATAGAAATTGTAAGGTGGTAAAAATGAAGCAGTTGGGCTGCAGATAAGAAGACAAATGAAGAACAAAGGTCATATAAATGATAAGTATGAATCAAGCATACAAAGCAAGATCTGACCTTTGAGCCACACAGTGTTCTCTTCCATACCATGAAGGATAACTGTAGAAGGACCCTCACTCAGTACCTGAGTAGGACTCCAACTTCCTCTTCCACAGGAGAGCAAATAAGGGCCAAGTGAATTAGAAAGACTCACTCATGGTCACAGAGCTGGCTGTTGAGAGGAGCAGACTGAGAAGCCAGAAGAAATGTGTGCTTAGTGCCATCCAACTACCTACAGATTCCAAGCCTGTATTTCCTCCTTAGCATACCCAATGTCTGTTGTAGAGAGACAGAGGCTAGCCCAGGAGCACAGTGCTGTGTCTTGGGTGAGGTGAGTCCCTCCATGATGATTTTCTGCACTAAGTTGTGGGAAGGAGCTGGAACTCTTGATGTAAATCAGCGTGTCATTTCATTTGTATGCTTAGCCACCCTTCCAGATGTAGACCACAATGTACATAAAACCATGAGAAGAATGGTATCTGGTGATACCTAGACACTCCTGGCCTTCACAAGGAAGATGTGTTATAGAAACTATCAAGTTTAAGTGATATTCAAGCTCTCTGGTTAGGGTTTTATAGGAAGCTATTAAGAAATTAGAGGCAGAGTGTTACAATTAAAGAAAAAAAAGTGAGCTGATAGGGCCGTTGGGAACCCAGCAAGTTGATTGCACTAAGCCTAGATGGGAACATATCTACTTTACACTTAAAGCTTCTCAGGAGAGACGCTTCAGTCCTTTTTCCTTTCCCTATTATGGTAGTTGATTATTTTTGTTCGAAACAACCAATTGGGTATGCTAATCAGATATCCCCACCCTTTGTTAGTCTTTTTCTGGCTTCTTCTCCATTCAAGTCCTGAACTGGGTTTCTCTCATTTCTCAGGACCCTGGTGACATTTACTGTCAAAGAGAAGTAGAGAAGAACCCAGAAGACAATGTCGTTCCAAGTTCTGTTTGTAGATAAAACTTGAGTCAAGCTCTTTAATCTCTCAAGTTTTTAAAAGTCCTGTTTTTCATGTTGGAAATGAGTAGATTGGACTGAATGCTTCTAAAACTCTTTCAACTTCAAAAATACCTCTAGTTTTGCCATTGGGTTAATTCATAAGGTTTACTTTTTCCAAAGGGTATTTTCATTTTCATGGAGAATGTGAGAAAAAAAGCTTCTGAAATGCAGGAGAATGGCCTTATAAAAGTATAGACCCAAGTTGATATTCAGGGTAAGACATCCTGTCTGAAGTATATTCTGTCCATTCTCAAGGTAGCTTTGCCTATTACGATCACTGTATGTTTTAAAAGAGGCCAATAATTGGATCTAAACTATTTGTGATATCCAGTGTTGAAAGAGATCTTCATTTATATTTTTGGCTCAAGATGTCTACAGAACATAGCATTATAATATTCATAGCAGGTGTTAAGTATATTATTTAGTATTACAGGTATTAGTCTAATGCTTAGGGTAGCTTAGCATTTTATGTATTAGTTCTTTGGGGTTACAATTAAGGCTTTAATTCCTGACTTTTTTTTAATGTAGTGCATGGTAGTTACTGAATTGGGATCTAGCTTTTAATTCCACAATGAATTCACCAACACTGACAAGCCAGTACTAATTAATGGCAATTCTTTATTTGCAACCATGTCTGAGAATTAGTGCCTCACATTGTTTGATTATTGTATGTTTTACAGGTAAAAATTTCAACCGGGGCAGCCTTTCCTTATCATAGCAGTTCTCTCAGTCTAGTTTTATGAGAAACTCTGAGTTGAAGTAATGGCCCTAAGCCTTTAAACCATTCCTCTTAAGGGACCCTGCTCACCCATTACACCTCCTTTTCTCCTCATCTGTCTTCTAAAGCGAAGTCTTTGGTTTGTTGCTTTGACCCAAGCTCTTCTACATCAAGCACCCTATCACTGTTTCAGAACAAATGAATCAGACATCCATCACAGATGTGTGTTAGCAAAATATTAAAGTTTCTATTGCTGTAATTACTAATGAGTGCTTAGATTTTTTATCAATCTTACTTGCACTTGAGTCAAAACTGCACTCCTAATATTTACCAATGTTTAGTAGTACTTTCAGATGGAATTGTTATACTCAGCTCCATAGCTTAAACCTTTAAGCAAGCACAGAGTAGAAATCTCTGTGTTGTGATGGATACAAACCACAATCCATTATACTGTTTCTTCCCACAGGTCTCCCATGATACAGCTCTCATCTCAGAACATTCTTAGTAATTCTGTAGGTGTATTTCTTCACTGGAGTGTGGTCTCTGATTCAAAGCTAGAATAGGTTTCCTATCCCTCAGCATTACTGTGGAACTGGGCCCAGGTGAGACCTGAGCTCCCATGTACAGAGTCCGCTCCCACTGTGTGAATCACATTCACACCGCCATGACTCCACACTGCTAGCTCTGCGCATAATATCTTCTCACTTTCTGTCTTCCCATTCTGAATACCGCTGTGCTTGGCAGTTGACAATTTGCCACATGAAAAAGTGTGCTCGTAATGCACGATGGAAAGTTTCTGTCCACCCACACCTACAGCATGTAGACATAATCATTTGGAGTGCTAAAATCAGACTCTAGTCTGTTTTATACCTCTCAAAGCCTACCACTGAATGTGTCAAAAAGCCTCCCTACCATTTGCAACCCCCTTCCCAGCAAAAGTACCTTCCTTGGGTACATCTCAATATCCCCATTGAGGAAGATGTCATCTGCTGGCTCCAACAGTCAGGTAAGACGCTTAGTATAAACTCCACAAAGTAAGCCACGACTTGAACTAGAAATAGACAGCCAGTAGCTGTTTTCAACACCTCGATCATTTCATTACTGGTTTTCTACCCTAGAACCCTTTATGGGAGTAGTGAAGAAATGACCCAGGCTGCTTATCTACCAAGGATTTCAGGTTCTTGTAGGTTGGAGGATGGTACAATATTTAAATGCAATATCAAATTATTCTATGTGTGACAATAACCATAAGGGTAGACAGACATAGCATCTTCTCCTTGTCTCCCATTTTATTTTCTACCAAACTAAGATGAAACATAATTGTGGAATAAGTATTTTTATGGCAGCCTTCTCTTGAACAAAATGAGGGTTGTCATACCTGTGTACTGTGTTGGGACATGTGGAATATAGACAGAAAAAGAGACTCTCCAAACGTTGTGTTATCAAGTGATTGATTCTCATACCGCTGGACCCTGGAAGGGCCACTGAGGGGAGAAGGGCACACTGTTCTCTGTAGGAGGCTAGGAAAATGGCAGGCAGAGGGGAAGAAACAAATGGCACACTTGTGTCTTCCCCAATTTACTCAAAGGATGTTCCTGGACCATCAGATGTGGCGTATGTAGATTTCTCTTAATGTCTATAGTAAGCATTGATAGAGAGGATTCCCCTTAACAGACATTTTCTCGCACAAATGCTGAGGTTTCTTTGCGAATGGGAACTTTCAAATTCTTGTCCTGATAATAGGATATCCTGGATGTAAATCCTGGGTTAGTCCTCATATTTTGGAAAGTTACAAGGGAATATGTATAATGAGATAACTCTCTGGCCAAGCTTGGCCTTACTGCATTTAATCTTTCTTTTTTTGGGGGGGGAGGTCTGGTTGTGGGGCCTGAACTCTGGGCCTCTCAGCATTTCAGCTCAAGGCTAGCGCTCTACCAGTTGAGCTACAGCGCCACTTCTGGCTTTTTCTTTTTGCTTATGTGGTGCTGAGGAATCGAACCCAGTGCCTCATGCATGCAAGGCAAGCGCTCTACCACTGAGCCACCTTCCCAGCCCCTTTAATCTGTCTTTCTGTCATGTCTACACACACACACACACACACACACACACACACATACACATGCACACACACACACACACACACCTGAGTCATCAACAGAGGCAGATACTCATCAGCAGTATCCTTCACCCAGGAAAATTCCTGTGTTACACTCATGACAATTTAAAATCAATCTAGGCAACCCATGGAACTATTTCTTTCTCTTTTCTTTCTTATTTTTTCCATCAAAAAAGGCCTTTAAAATATATTAAACCAGGTAAATTTTTACTCAGATGTTCATGTGTCTGAAGCAAGTTGACAAGGAAAACCATCACAAAATACTTTTGTTATTTTTTTTGTTTTGTTTTTAAAGAAACATATCCCTATACATTGTCTCTCTCTGTCTAGCTGGATGGAACTGCTTTCTTAGCACAAGTGTTGTGGGAACAGGAAGTCTGAATGTACCATGAGGGGTACTTGGAACCAACCATATCCTCAAACTGAGGCGGCTGAGGGACTGGGGGCTGGTAGGAGGGTGGGTGAGCCAGGAGGCTGCTGCTGCCCTTGCGGTTGCTTCCTCGGTTTTTCCACTTCTCCCACTTCCTCAGGAAGTGGCTGTAGGAGCAGTCAGCACAAGCCTCCAGGGTGCAGAGGAAACAACATACAAAAAGTAAGATCCAAGGTAAGGAGTCACAAAACAACATTGTAAGAAATCTGATTAAAAAGAATACAAAAGTGACTCCAGAGAGCGAGGGGAAGAACTCCCACCCATCCCATCTCTGACCCCTCTTGCTTTCTCAGATGACAAGTATCACGTTGAAGGAATTCTTGTGGCTTGCATGACTTGGCTGGTTCTTTTCCTTCACTTTTCCTGGCTTAGATTTTCCTTCAATCGCATTCATTTTAGAAAGCACCAACTTTACAGATCTGAGGCTGTTGAGTTGTAGCCTCCCTGTGAGAGTGTATGTGTGTGTGTTTGTGTGTCTCTGTGTGCGTATATGTGTGTGTGTGTGTATGGGAGAGAGAGTGTGTGCACAGGTGCACATATGCAGTGGCTGTTTCTTTCTCTCTGATCTGCTTCAGTCCAAGCCTTGAGGTCCCATCATCTGGGTGCTGAGAGACTCATGGGAACACCCTGTTGGCACTAAGGTGAGGGCTTGGATTATCTTCGCACCCTGGAGGTGTAGATCCACTCCCTGCCTAAGCACTGGGGTAGGTCCTCCACTAGCTACAGAGTTTGCCAGTCTCGTACTCCACAGGATTTGGCAGTTTGGAATTGAAGGCCCTCAGGGAGGACTGGATCCTGCCCACCTCATTGTTGGCTAGCTTGAGCCGATGCCGGAGTAAGCAGGAGAAAAGGTCAAGCCTGACTTTGCCAGGTGGAGAAAGCTGGTTCACTCGGTCCCTAAGCTCAATAAGCTGTAAAAGCGCAGAGTCCTGGGAACCTTGTGTATATGGATAGTCCAACTGGAGAATTAAGTCCCGGATGGCATCGGGGTCAAAGGGAAGGCTGTAGCCAAAGACCTGTAAGGTATTGATTTTCATGTAGCCTAAATTCTTGGAGGGATCCGTCATCTCCAGGGGCTCGTAGTAGATTGTCTCATTGGAGCTGTCGTCCAGGGACTTGATTCGGCTCCGTAGGTAAACATGGACTGTCTCAAAGAATGTCTTCCACCGATTCCCCAGGGTTATCGTCCAGTTTTGGCACTGGGCAGCAGCATCCACGTTAGTCCTTTCCCAGTCAGGGAAGCTGCCTTCATTCACAGGCATGAACCAACTCTCAGAGTGGCTGCCCCCAAAGGGGTTCACATAGATCGCCATGACAGGCTCCAGGGTGCTGTTCTTGGTGAGGCAGATCTGCAAGGACAAGGCCAACATCACATGCACCAGCCCAGGCTTATACTTGTTGCTCTTCAGGGTGAGCAGCATGCGCTTCCTCCAGGAAGGGTCAAACCAGCTGCCCAGACGCATGTCATTGCTGATAAAGATCGAGTGTACCTCAATGCGGCTGTCCCGCTTCTGCAGCAGGTACTTCAACTCCAGGTCCTGCAAGTCTGTTTCCAGTCCAAGAAAGTTCTCCAAGGACTCGGCCACTTCGGGCCGGCACAGCCCCTGGGCCAGCACGTAACCTGGGTTGCAGCTTCCACAGCGCGTGCTATTGTCTGAAGCACAGTGCGCGCATGCGGGCCCTTCACCCAAGGCACATGGGATGGGGCCCTGGCAGGAAGATTGGTCATAGGGACAGGTACAGCTGTGGCTCTGCTCCAGGAAGGTGCCAGGGAAGGTGCTTTCTCCACAGTACAGGAGAGACTGGATTCGGTTCCACCAGTAGGACAAGGACCTTGAGGAGGGTAGATTAGAAACAGAGCAAAGTCAACGGAAGCAGCATACCTCCACCTGCCCCTAACAGCTGACAGCAGGGAAAGTACTGACAGAAGGAGAAAGCCTTGTGTTCACTGAATGATGGAAACCTGACCGAGCTATTTGGGTCTGACTGAGAAAAGCTTGATCAAGCCAAGTCTGACATTTAGCATCAGACTTGTACTAGAAGCAACAGACTACTATTCTGTTTCCCTCTAAAAAAAAAAAAGAAACTGGAGGACCTACATCTTATATTAAATCTAGGTTTTCAACCTTCTATATAGAGGATGACTCCAAGATTTCAAATTCTTCCCAGTTTTACTCCCACTTCAAGGTCTTATTCCTTTTTCATTCTCTCTGCTTCTGTCACTCTTCCACCAAGGCTTAGAATATTCTATTGCCAACCCTCTTAAAACTTTAATAGCAACTTTTACATTAGCTCTTCAGAGAGGGCTTTCCTGATGTCTGTTTCAAAAGAACCACTCTTGTCACGATTGCACCACCTGGTTTTTATTTAATCCATGACGATTATCAATATTTAAACTTAGCGCGTTTGTTGATTACTTATTTATGGGCTGCTTTCCTTGGAGAAGCTACAAGAACAGGGATGCTGTATTACTGGCTAACATATTCTCGGAGATCAAAATTGTTTCTCTTGTGTAGTAAGCACTTACTAATTATCTTTGGGGAAAATAATGAATCCCTGTCAAACAGCCCCATTGCACTATCCTTTCCTTATCATCCTTACCTGTGCTTCACTTGGAGTTACGTCTTTGAGGAGCTCTTCTCTCCTAGAATAGTGTCTCCCCTGTGTGTACCAGCCCATCATTTCTGCCCAAGATGGCCAGGACTTCCTTGTCCAAGGAAACCTTCCTCCTGGAGAATCTGAGGAGCTGTTCTCATAATTTTCTACTTTACCATATGCTTACAGCTAAGTAGTAGGGCATGGGATATAGACTTAGTAAAATCTTACTGAAAGAAGGAAGGAAGGAAGGAAGGAAGGAAGGAAGGAAGGAAGGAAGGAAGGAAGGAAGGAAGGAAGGAGTGGATGACAGTACAACGAGAGTACAGTGCTGAGAGTACAGTGCACACTCCTCAGCTTTCCTGCCTTCTATGGCTCAGAGTTCAAGATTAAAAATTAGAGTTGCGCAAATGTCAAATAATCTCCTCTTGCTTGTTGCATCTCCCGGTCTGGAGTCTAAGTTTCTGGGGTGCCCTCCTGTCGACGGAAGTATCCTAGGGGGCTAGGGTCTTTCAAGAGCAGTTGCTTATTTAAAATCATTGAATGTGTGCATTTCCTCTTAGATGTACAAGACTTATGAATAAGGGACAATGTGAGCATCATTAGACTAATATATGAATCTGCTATCATTTTGTTTTGGTAAGAAGGAGGTTTGGACTCTGTCTCACTTTGGACATAACAAAATTGAGAATGACACAGGGGAGCGAGTCAAGATCACAGGACGTTAAAAGCTGTGTGTATCACTGCTTTCTCATCCATTTTGGACAGGGGACTTGCCCCGCCCCACCCCAGCAGCCATTGCCAGGGTGGTGCTGAGCCTGGTTCTGGAGCCTGGGATGCTCACCTCTCCTTGGGCAGCCGGAATCGAGGCTGGCGATGGCAGCGCTTGCAGAGGTTGAAGAGCCGGCGGATGATGCGGTGGGTCTTCTTGAACAGCACTTTCAAACTGGCTCCCAGCTGCTGGTAGCGGTGCTGCAGGTTAGTGTCCATAGCCCAAAACTGAGAGATGGCTGTGGAGTTCAGGAACCGGTCAGCAGGGAGCCTTTTCAGCAGGATCTGGAACTCTTCTGTGGGCAAAAAAAAAAACAAAAACAAAAACCGAGCAGCTGAACAAAGGGCAGTTCTGAGGAGTCCTGGGAGACAGGTCGGTGTTGCCCACACCCAGGGGGATGTGTATCTACTTTCCTTGTTTCTTTTTCACTAATAGCTTTATTGAGAAACAACTAACATATAATGTATGGTTTCAGGATTGTTTCCATCCTTTCCCACTCTAGAATGTCTCTGAGTTTCAAAGAGATTTGCTATCAAGTGGAGGGCAAAAGATTCTACCTTTGCTAATAGTTTTTGGATATACCTCTTTGCCTCTTTATACCTCCTGATAAGTCATCCACAACATTATCACAGGACAATCCTCTTCAGTGATGCTGGGACACCCTGATGCAAGAAATAAAGCATGCAACCACACGCAGTGTAGACACAGCAAAGGTACTGTATCCAGCTCAGCTATTTTAGAACTATTTTCAGGCCCCTGAAGTTGGTTTTTCCCTCCAAACTTTTCTATCTGAGCATGTAACTCTTCTCTTTGTTCTCTTGGTTAGACATTGTTTTGTATTCCGTAGCTGATCCAGAAGCTATATGCTTTGGAGTTTCTAGGCCCAAGTCTGAGCTTTCCTCGGAGCTTGCTGAGCATAGCTTTTCTGAATTCATACTCATGTCTCTGTTCTCTGCTCTTCTTGTCCTTGGGACCCACAGTCACCACATCTCCTGCCTCTGAAAGGAGACCTACTCTGCTTTCATGGTTAGCAGTAGCTTACAATGCTGAAAAGCCTGCAGTCACATAACAGAACATATTCTGCCACCATTAATCCAAAGCATGAGGGTTGAAGAACATTTTTATATTCTCCTTAGCTAGTTCCAGCAACCTATTTTTACTTTCTCTCTTTCACAGGTGAGGACACTGAGGCGTTGAGGTGCTTCATGGTTACCCCAAGACAAGTGCAGCTGGCCAGCAGCAGGGTAAGAATGCGAAAGCAACTGCTCTGAATCTGCATCTTAAGGCAATGTTGACATGAGTGACAGTAGCAACAAACGGCACCTAGCTTTCACCAGTGTCACTTTGAGCCACTCTACACACTTCATTTATTCAACAACTACTTATTGTGTACCTTGTGTGCAAGCATTGTTCTAGTAGGCACTGTGGATTCAGTAGCAAAGAAGACAGACAAGAAGATCTATACTTAATGATATTTATCTCACCTCATTAGGTCCTTAAAACACACTTGTTAGTTAGAAACGATGTCCATTTACATAAAGGAAGAATAAACCACTTGAGAGTCTGGGAGAGGGATATCGCCTCCCTAGGTCATAGGGATGGTAAGTGGCTGAGATGGGATCAGAGCCAAATTCCTATGGTTTTTGCCTTGCACTTCATAGCCATCTCTCTTCCAGGGAGGAATTCTGGGACTAGTTGACTGCTTACCTGACTCCTCAAACTGCCGGTTGTGAGTCGCCCAGGAGTCCTGGATCTGTAGTAAACTGTCTTCCATGGCCTGGATGTCAGCGTCAGGACAGTTGCATTCTGGGAACGTGGGGCTGCACTTGCACCAGCAGTCATTCTCCTTGCAGACCAGCTCCCCCTCAGAGCTGCATGTGATGTAGCTGAGAGCTGCAGCTACAAAGCGCTCACGCAGGTACTCAGGCAACAGCACCTGCAGGCCTGTGCGAAACGATGTATCAGAATCGCTGGGGAAAACCAGGGGAGACTCAGTTTCCCACACCCAAGGCCGGAGAAAGCCTATCTGGGGTTCTGCTGACTTGTGTGTCCGGGACTCAAGAATGATCACCCCAGGGCCTGATCCTGCTAGGCTGGTTGGGAGACAGGGCTGTCCCTGCACTGTGACAGATGGAGGATGATTGGAAAATGCAGACAGGGAAGATCAAAGCCCAAACTCTTCACATCAGCCAAATTAAGAGTGTGCAGATCATAAGAACAGACTTATTGGCTACACATCAGCAATTCTAGAGAGAAACAAAATGTTTCGGATAAAAGAAGAATTTACAGCCTTCATAGGGAAAGGAATCAAGTCTTGCTGGGCTGCTCTGCCTCCAGTAGCCATCCTGTTTCTAGCTTAACTGAGACAAATAGTAGTCATAGTAGAACATTACTGAATGATGCTCCCATCTTATCCCCGATGAATGATGAGGCTCAGAGGTAGGGTTAGGTGTTCTGTGTATATAATAGCCAGGCCCTCTGCCAAGTCCTTGCTATATATAACTGCATGTAACCCTTGTGGCCATACTGAGGTTCTTAAAGGTAATGAAACATAAGCCCAAAGACCACAATGACCTACCCAAGTTTCAGTGCTAATATGCTTTTCTTTGTGGCATACCCTGTCCTTATCTCAGAAAGTCATGCTGCATGCCTGATTGTAGCTGTCCATTCTCAATAAGATTTAACTCTTAAGGAGATCTAAAACTAGGATGATGATCATTGCCCCGAAGACCAGTAAGGCCTAGGTAGATATGAATGACTCATGGCTCTCTTTCCATTGCCTTCCTCTGCTCTTGAATATAATACCCAAAATTTATCCCAAGCTTTGGTTTTCTCACTGATTTGTGATGAATATCTGTACCAGTAGCAGAATGTACCCCTAGTTGGCTTCAAGACACAAATAAGGTAGCTGTCTATTGGAAACTTAGCAAAGGATGAATGAAGAGTAGATCAGACTTTGAATGCATTGTGGGCCATGTTTGAGGTCAGACCTGAAGGAAGTTCTCCTCTAATAGGAAGGCTGTGGGTTCTTAGGCTTAGAGGGTGAGGGATCGGAGCACCTCTGCATACAGTCTCCTTTCCTCAAAAGTTTGCTAACTCTTTTATTTCTACACTCTTGACCTTGTCTGGCAGGAAATCACAAAGCCCACAGTCTATATCCTAGTCTCAGCAGACCTCAAACTATAACTAAAAATTGTCATCCACAGAGGATTTTTTAAATTCTTGCTGGAGGTCTACCTCTTCTTCTGAACTGCGTTTAAATTTTCCTTTCTTGACTCTCTGCCCATCTTGGCACTTGAACAAGACCTCCTTCCGCACTGTGCTCACATGCTTGCTTTCAACGCTCACCCTCTCCAAGCAGTTTCCTTCTGCTTCCCCCTTTCATCCTCCACCAGAACATTTCCCATTGCTATAAAATAAGTGCCCCGAGCAATGTCTGCATGAGTGATGGGCTATAAAATTAAATGGCATAAACTATTTCAAATGAACCACCAGGCATTTCTAACTTCACTCATTGGTAATTTCCAGACACAAACCAAGCCCATCCAGGGACAGAAGAGAAGAGAGATGCTAATTGTATTAGGTAGCTCTAAATAAAAGTCTTTTACTCTTCTTTATTATACATTTCTTGATTCCTACAGCATTACTGGGTCACATCTGGCTCAGATTGCCTGGAATTTGTAATCGTAGATCCTGAATGAGGGCTATTGATTTTGTAATGCTGGGATAATAATATCTTAAGCAGAGTCCAATTCAGTTAGGCCTGAAGAAAAATGGACTTTTCCCACTGAATCAGTTTGGGTAGGCCTTTCCCAAAGATGCTTACGAAACAGAGCAGGAGATGTATACCTCCTTTATCTTCCACCATTCAGACCTACTGTGGTTGCCTTTTTTTTTCTTTCCCTGTTTTGTATGTTCTTTCTCCAGAAAAAAGGCTCCCATTCCTTTAAAATGCCTCTTGGCTTTGAAATTACCACAAAAACCCACAGCCTAATAGCAGAAAGCAAGGGCCACCCTTGAGGTATGGTTACAATAGCCAGTGGTACCTGTAGTAGATCCCTTGTTTGAAATAGAGATCGTTACCCCATAATCACTCTGCAAAGGCAAGTTATTCCTCATTGTGTCTTCAAGATAAAGAAGAAGAGTTTGGAGGTAATATAGATGATTACTGAAGTGGGTCAAATTCTCTAAGGATAGCTGTGCTGTTTCTTATAGGATAATGACAGAGTGTTTGAGAAAGAATAAAACATGAGAGGACTTTGGTGTCCAGTGATAAGAGCAACAGGTCTTGGCTGTAAGATATTCTATCAGATGTTTGTTGTATTGTTTTTCAAAAGAATGATATAGTCTGGTGCTCATAGTTTATGTCTCTAATCCTAGCTTCTTGGGAGGTGGCAATTGAGAGGATCTTGGTTCAAGACCTGGCCAGGCAAAAAGTATGAGCCCCATCTCAACCAATAATAGGTATGCTGTTGTGTGCCTCTCATTCCTGCTATGTGACAGGCTGAGATCAGGAGGATGATAGTTCTAGGCCACCCTGAGCAAAATTAATCAAGACATGGATACTAAAGATGAATAAAACTTCTATTTAGAGCTACCTAATATGATTATTACTTCTCTTCTTCTGTTAGAAAACATGAAGCCCTGTGTTCAAACACTAGTACACACACACACACACACACATACAACACAAAGGAAAGCTGTTAGATACAGGTCTCGGAATTTGTGGTAGTTCTTCTCTTAAGAAGGGTTTAACAAAGTGGGCAAGTAGGCCCTTTTCTGTTCTTTGGTGACCCAGATTTTTCCGCCAGGTGTGAACTATGTGAAAGGCACCCTGGAGCTGCTTACCTAGTAGCTGCACTTTGTTCTCTGGACTCTGCACCAGGACAGAGCTGACTGAGTCCAGATTATCATAGTTGCTGCAGCCCAGAGGACCGGTCCTGGTCTCTGTGACCTACACAAAGAAGGAACAGGATATGGATTTAGAAAACAAGCAAGGCACCTTTGTCCTTTTCTTCCAGTCATCCTCCTGGAGACTCCACATTCTGTCTTTGAGCTGCTAAAGAACAGCATGCATCTTTGGTTACCCACCCCACAAATCCCTGATGCTCCTCTCTCAGGAATACAAGGTCATTTCGTTTTCTGGTTCTACAGTACCTGTGATATGTGACCAGTGTCACAGTTGTACATAGGTAGGAGCTTGTCAGATACAGCCAAAGAATATTTGTGAATAGGAAGAAAAACTGAAAGAAGGCTGGAAAAGGAGTGAAAGCTGGAGTCAATCCTATCCCTCCCTTCCCAGGAAGGACAGGGGCAGGGCAGTTAGAGTCCTTAATGGCCTGCAGGTGAGCGCAGTTGTACTATTTGATGCGGTGCTCATGGGCTTTAGGGGTCCTGAAGATGGAAAGCACTAGAGAAATATGAGTTATGAGTATTATTATTAGAATTAAACATTTAAGTCCCACCTCAGCACTGAGATGTCCTTAGAGAAAATCAGCCATGGGCTTTCTGCATATTTTAATAAGTATATTAAATATACATAAACTCTTATATTCCAAAACACCATAGTCATTTTAAAATATTATAAAGTTAGCCCATCCATTTTCCCTGATGTTTAAAGTATAAGATGAAAAATGGGGAGTTTTAAATGCACAGAAATAATTATGTAATAAGAATGATGGGGACCCGAGGCCCTTTCTTCTCAGGATCTCTGAAGTCTTTGCCAACAATCAATCAACCAATCAACGAGTATTTATTGAGCAGCCACTGTTCAATTCCATACAATTCATCAAGCATTCATAGAATGCACTTCAGGAAGTCCTTTAAAGAAGCCTGTCTGATACCTCTGACCTCCTCCTATAGTTTCAGGCATGTCTGTTTTGCAGCAGACATGGGAGGTGTAGTGTTACATCCTTTTCTGAGAGTATTGGGTTCATGTCTCGGTCCTGTATACTCTAAGTTATTGACCACAAATATAATATCCAGCGTATTACAGGCACTCAGTGTGAGAGAATGCATGAGAAAGGTGTTCTAAGGTTCACAGCATGGGAAGGGGTACACAAAGATGAACAAGTTATGCACTGAGTCTTTCAGTCAGGCAGGTTAGTATAAGTACAAATGATTGATAGGTACTCAAGTTGTGGCAAAAGGAAGTGCCCCAAGGAGCACTGAACAAAGTATATCTCTAAGCAAGGAAAACAAGACAAACAAAAATAGCAAAAGAACTAGCATCTGATCTGCTTTTAAAAACAAGTTAACTAGCAGGGTGCCAGTGGCTCACGCCTGTAATCCTAGCTACTCAGGAGGCTAAGATCTGAGGATCATGGTTCAACGCCAGCAGTGGCAAGGAAAGCCCATGAGACTCTTATCTCCAATTAACCACCAGAAATCTGGACTTGGTACTGTGGCTCAAGTGGTAGAGTGCTAGCCTTGAGCTGAAGAGCTCAGGAACAGCACCCAAGCGCAGAAGTCAAGCCCCACAACGGACAAAAATAAATAAACTATGGGCCTGTAAAGTTTACTTCTCAGATAAGTAAACTTCATTGGCCAGACAAGGTAGGTAGAGGAAGCATGCTATGAGGAAGAAAAGACAGAGCAGCAAGATTTATAGCACACCAGCTCCCAAGTGCATAGACTGTATACATGTCTAGCACCCTGCTGATTCCAACAGGGAAAACAAATATACAGGTAACACAATTGAGAGGGTCTTGTCTATCCAGGCTTAAAAAAGGGAGATGTAACAAAGTAATCAGGGAGAGATGATGTGATGCTAGCTAAATATACAGTGCTGATGAGACAGGAGTTTAAAGTAGTCTGAGAAGGTCTTAGATTCATCAATGGACGAATAGGGGTGTGACAGAGTCTGAAGGGATGGAGGAAGAACAATGTCTCTAGGCAAAGACCAAAGGAGAAACAACACACCAGGCCTACAAAGAAGCAAGAAAACAATAGGACCAAGACCAGTAAAGAGTCGGAACAACTTCTCCACAGATTCCCATACTTGTCGAACCATCACAGAAACCTTTTGATATAAACCTCACTACTTCTACTCTCCAAAAAGGGCGCCACGGTTTCAAGAGCCAGAATACCTAACACCATAGAGTTGGAGTGTGGTGGAATCTCCAGATTCTAGTTCAATACCTTTTGGTCTCCTGATAATACTGGAGCCAACAAGGACTTTAAGCCACTCAAGACATGCCCACTTCCTAAAATAATAAATGTTCTCAACAGAGACCAGTTCACCCAAAGTGAGTTAGCAATCTGCCCTCTCCTCATACCTTTTCTCTTCTGAAGATTGAACTGCATGGACTTAGGATCAGTATTCTTATCCCTGAATGAGGGGAGAGGCCAGATCATCATGAGGAAGGCTTGTTTAGATTTCACCAGATCCCAAGATAATACCTCTTTATATTCGAGACCACCTCTCTCCCCATTAGGAAGTTAAGGGAAGAAGAGAGGAAGTTGGACAGGTCTGCCTGCAGATACAAGAGCAGGTTGACTGGAGTAAACAGCTCCCCTCCCCTACCCCCAAACCCCCTCTACAGCCCCAGGGTGACAAAAGCTGCAGAGACTCTGATGTCAGGAGAATCTTGCAGCTTTCTTTACAAAAGAGTCAGACAGCTCCTGGAGCTTATAAAGAGGGCCTATAGAGGAAATGCCAAGTGCAGTTCACTCAGGTGCACAGTTTCAAAGAATGCCTCTGATAAGCTTTCAGAAGGGGAAAATAATTGTGTGCTAATTGGTCTGTTGACAGAGACCATCCTGCCTTCAGAAGGCCCCTGATGGATCCAGGTTCATTAGCACATCCAATTTTCCATAAATCCCTGATCATGCAAACCGTAGCTCCAGCAAGCCTGTTTGCCTCCCTCTGTTCTGACTTCCAGGCTGCTCTTGTTCTACCTGGGAGGATACCTGTAATGCCTACGGGCAGAGTAAAAAATGGGCTTCTAATGATGAGCAATGGGGCTGAGCTTAGCATAGCTGATGTGTGCTGAAAGAGGCCAAATGGCAAATCCTGGGCTACTGCAGTGAAAAATGCCCACAGGTGGTTTTGCAGGATGCTTCGTGACAATGCTCCTTTCCACCAGCCTGGGGTGCAGCTGAACTTTCATGGGGGGATCCTCAGTTAGCTTATAAACATCTCCAATCCTCCCCACCAAGACCTTCCATATCTTTTGACTGAAGGGACACTATGTAATAGAGAATTGAGCTATAACTAAGAAAAGGGCCCGATTTCCCCCTTGGTGGCCTGACTCCTTCCCAGAAATTGCTGATGAGAAGCATATACACACAAGCTGGTGTCATGACCCTATAGCACAGATAACATTCACCATATTTATCATTAGTCCAGAGCAATCCGTCTGTTCTTATTGCTCAGTGGTCAGTCTTGAATGGCCAGATAGAGTTCTGCAGGTGTCTTGGGCTGCATGTACACTTTGGTTGATATCAAAAGTTGGGCTACGGGTTCCAGGAGAGAGATAAAGGTGACTAGGGTAGCATAAGTGGCTTGGAATATAAGAGTGTTTCAATATTCCAAAGCCCGGTGTTGCCATCTTAGTGGAATTTAAGTCCTGTGTACAGTTGAGTCAAATAGTGGGTAATTCTGACCTTCCACAGACACATGGGGTTCAATGATTCCTCAAGGTCATAGAGGAAATATCAAGGCTGAAACCCAATTCTAAGCATTCTGACTTGAATAAGTTTGTCTCCCCCTAAACTGTATGTATCACCTGCCTTCACCAATGGAGAATTTTACTGAGCATACTGCTACATACCAGATGCTGTAAAGGAACCTGGAGCTATGTGCATGTTGCCGAGTCTCTACTGCTCTAAGACCTACTGTCATGGCTAATGCAAGGAGGGGAGGAACAGGTACGCTAACAGCTTAAATGTAATGTGACAAATCCTATAATAGACATGTGCTGATCAGGGCAAACCTTCCAACAGTGATGCTTTATTGGGGTCCCATTAAACATGATGAACAAACAAGAGAGGGCACCTCTTCTTCCATGTTATTGCAGAAAGAGTTTCTAGGAAAGAATATAAAAAAAGAAATCTAACTACACATTTGCTTGGAGATCAAAAGAAATGGACACATATGCTGTAGATCTTTCATTTCCTGAAGGCAGAGCCGGTGATCAGAGCCCAACCCATTAGCAGAGTAATGACTGGCCTGGAAGACGACTCAACTACTAAGGCATGTTCAGGGCAGGGAGGGAGATGTGGGCCCACAACACCAAGGAAGGACTGTTAGATAGCAAGAGTGTGTTGCAGAGGACAGCAGGACTACTGGCGCTTCCTATCTGAATCTGTAAATACTAAGCACTTTAGAGCAAAGAGACGGCATTGTGTGGGACACTACCATTTTGGGTCAAGAGCATCAGATGAGCAAAGGTGTGGGAAGGGAAACAGGGCAGCCTTGTACTCCTGACTCATGGGCTACATCCTTGGGTATGTCATTTCAAACCTGTAGACCTCACTAAAGAATTGGGATGAGTTGAAGGAGAGAAAAAAGCAAAGTGAAATCACCCTCATTTACCCATGTTTTTTAGAACTGTATCCCATAGAGAGGATCCATCACGTTCCTAGACAGAGAAAAATCCCAGGTCAGTCAGCGAGGTGGAAACTGAATATTCATCTCACATTGAGTGTGCCCTTTGAGGAATTCCAAGAAGAGGCTTCCAAGAGTAGTGGGCCCCTCCTTTGAAGGGATGAGCAGTGGCTCTAGCTGTGGAAAGTGTACCCAGAGGACTTCAAACTGATGTGATTTGAATATCTACCTACCATTTACTCTACTGCTTTTAACTTAACAAGAGGCAAACCAGGCTGGAGACAATGCAGAAAACCCCACCCTTAGGCTAAGGTTTGACTCTGAACCGGGGTGGGGGTGGGGTGGGGGGGTGGGGAAGGTTTGAAAAATGACTGTAGGTATTTATAAAATTCCGATAATAAATAATTATCAAACACTTTCTAGGTGCCAGGAACTGAAAATACAGTCACAAACAGGGAATAAAACCTCTGCACTGGTGGCACTGGCTGACAGACAAAACAGAAAGAATAATGTGCAGTCAGGGCTAGAGACAGTTCCACAGCAAGGCAAAACCATGAGTTAAGTTGAAGCCACTGGGGTATAGAAGAGTCTGGGATAAACAGAGGACATAATTCTTGCACAAGGGAAGCAAGAAGATGAAGCAGATGGAGATTAAAAAAAATAAGTAGAAAGTAGAGGCATCTATTCCAACAAGAAACAGAGATAGTAACCAGAGTGCGACCATCATTTTACAAGTCCCAGATGTATGGTCTGGATTTAGCGTTCTGCCCTTGCAGATCTGGGATATTCTTCACCAGAGTCCTTTTAATAAACTTCCTTCCTATCAAGCTTTCTTAAGTAGATCTCTGTTTCTTTTAACTAAACATGCTTGAAGGTATTTGCATACACATCCCGAGCAGGCAAACCTAAGCCATGTGGAAAGCACCATGTCCAGAAGATGCCTTTCATTTATTCATTCGTTCGTTTGTTCATTCCTTTGACATGGTTGGATGATGAATTGTCCATCCATCATATGGTGCCCTCTATACTATGTAGCAGGGAATCAATGCTAAACAAGACCATAGTCTCATGTGGCAATAACCATATTAGCTAGCAATTGCAATCCAAATATCAAGCCCTATAAAAGATGCATGTGTTGGGAACACTAAAGAGGAGAATTTATCCATGTTAGGATTCAGGTAAAGATTGCCTTTCTGAGCTAATCAAAGATAGGTGAGGAAGAGCTGCTCTGGTCCACAGACAAGCACTGTAAACACAGCGGCAAATAAGAGTTGGAATTAGATGTGACTGTATGAAAGGCTGTTGGGTAGACACAACTGGATTACATGCAAGGAACAGATCGTGGAGAGTACAGGGAGATAAATGAAGATGAAGAGATGTGTAATAGTATTGGTTCGAGATGACACTAGAAACACCGAAATAAATCTTTAGTTGATCTCACTGTTCATTTGAGAAGAAAAGAAACCAGCCCTTTCGAAGCTCCAACTGTGTTCATGGTTTGCATTAACCTTACATTTTAATCTTACTTTATTTTATATTGTTCCCTTGCATTTTATTTTTGTGCTAGTACTAGAGCTTAAACTCAGGGTCTAGTGCTCTTGCTTCGCTTTTTCACTCAAGGCTGGTATTCTACCAGTAGAGCCACACTTCTACTTCTGGCTTTTTGTTGGTTAATTGAAGGTAAGAGTCACAGATTTGTCGGCTCAGGTTGGCTCGGAATTATGATCCTCAGATCTCCGTCTCCTGAGTAACTCAGATTACAGCTGTGAGCCGTCTACACTGTGCTTACATTTGTGGTTGAGCACTACATCATGCTCTGTCTCTTAATTGGGTTCATTCCTTTTTTCTATGTTTTCCTACTCTGACATTGTGTGTTTATTGAACCATGTCTCTGCTACTCCAATTCAGGTTTCATGAGTGCACATATTTTATGTCGGTTCACGTCCTGAATATCAGAACCTAGCAGAGTGGTCTGGCACATAAAAGGTGCTCAATAAATATTTATTGAATGACTGATGAGGAGAATTTCCTTAGGATATTTTTAGATGAAACCAAAGCCAAACACATCATCAGTTTGAAAGCTATTCACCATCCTAAATTTATACTTAAAATGATTTTTAAAGGTATTATTCAAGTGTTTTTATTTCAGGAATCCCAAGTCTTCCATAAAATAATACAAACTTTAATTGAAATGTCCTAGGGGTAAGTAGATGAGATAGGATAGAGATTATAGATATTTAAAGTCACAATGAACACTATTCTTTTTAAAAACATGAATAAGATATCACTCTTCTGGTAATACTTATAAAAATTCATTGCCATCACCATGTGCTGTGGTTTTAGTCTTCCTCAGAACCTCATTGTGTCCTTCTTTCCCTTCCTTCCTCCTTCCCCCCCTCCTTCCTTCCTTCCTTTCTTCCCTCCTTCCTTCCTTCTCTTTCTCTTCCCTCCCCCTCCCCTTCCCTCCCTCCCTCCTTTCTTTCTTTTCTTTATTTCTCTAGTCTCTCTTTCTTTCTTTCAGTCTTTTCTTGTGCCATTCCTGGTGCTTAAACTCAAGCGTCTGGGTGCTCAAGACTAGAGCTCTACCACTTGAGCCAGAGCTCTACTTCCAGGTTTTTGGTGGTTACAGATAAGAGTCTGCCAGGGCTGGTTTTGAACCACTATCCTCAGATCTCAGCCTCCCTTGTAGCTCAGATTACAGGTGTGAGCCACCGGCTCCAATGGCTTTCTTGTTCCCTTGTCTGTAGTAACATGTCTATACTCCGCCTACAGTCATGTCTGTACTCTAGCAGTGAGCTCGATTCTGCTTCAGGCCCTTAGCACTTACTGTTTCTGTACCCACACACTCCTTACACACACACACACACACACACACACACACACACACACAGAGTCATGCCTTTTAGATCTCAGCCTCAAAGTCTAAACCCTAAGTACCTCCTGACCTACCAAGATAATAGTAGCTGCTCCCTCTCCTCACTCCACAAAATAGAAACCTCCTAACTGTCTTTGCTTTATAGCTCAATGAAACTTCTTGATATCTGTATGCAACTCCTCTGCTGTTCTTCCAATTGGCCCACCCCCTGGCACCTGTGACACCTGTGGGGGCAGGGGCAATAAGCAGCGGCCATCCAGGAGCCCAGTAGATGTCCCTCCCACAAGTGTTCCTGCTCATGTAGGAGGGGTGACTCCATGCTATTTGAGAGCTGTCTGAAACCCCATCAGAAAACTGGTTTTCCCTTTGATGGGTTTGGCCTGGCCGGGCCACAGCTGGATAAGCCCTTTGCCCAGGGGCCCCCACCGGCCCTGGGCCTGGCAGGCTGCTGTTACCTTTATGGCCCCGGTGGCTATCTGGATGTGATGGAGCCGGCGCAGAGTGCTCTCTCTGTCGATGAAGTAGGACGCTGCGAGCTGGTGCAGGGTCTCCAAGGACACGGCTGAGCTGTTCCCACTGCCTCCCACGGCAGAGACGCCTCCCGTGGGCTCTGCCTTCCTGCTCAGTTTCCGCTTGTCCACAAAAATGGTCAAGGACTCTTCTCCTGTAGCCAGAACAGAGGTGGACTGAGTGAGGCCTTCCTGCTCCACAGCCCCTACCAAGAAGCACAAGGGAAGCCTGAGCCAGACACAGGGGCTAAGAGGCAGCGAGGCCCCTGCTGTGGGCCTTGGTCCACTGTGTGGTGTGGGGTCACAGGCCTCCCTTCCCTGGGAAGGCCTCCCTCTCTCCCTTTGCTCCTAAGCCTCCCAAAGCTCACCCCCATTCACCCTCCATTTCTTCATTTAACATCTGCTATTGATCTCTGTCTCGGGCAATCTGCCTCCGGGGGCGAGATACAATTCTCTCTCTCAAGTTGTTGATAAGAAGCCACCATGGCTATTTCTGCTCCCTGGGAAAGGACAAAATCGTTGAAGCTCTTCCCCATCAGACACTCAACCCCTACCACATGCTGGCAGCCAAAGAAGCTACTTTGTTCCAGGGGCAATGAGCTAAATGTGACAACAAATCCTGCTTTCTTCATAGCAGGCCTCTTCAGAGCTTTCCAATGGTGTACCTCCAGCCCCATGGTGTACCTCCCTCACCCTACCCCCCATCCCCCATCATTAGCTCAGGGTCGATGGAACTGGTTTGGGCTGGTTACTGACATACATAGGGACTCCATGGGTCTTAAATTTGTTAGCCACAGCAAGTATTAGGAAGTGGGGAAGCCTTGGAGTTAGCTGCTGCTCAACCAAAGCAATACTAGGAGCGCCCCCTGCTGGTATGGGTTTAGCAGAAATCTGTCCTCCCTCTCCCTTCTCCCCTCCCCCCCTCCCCTTCTTCTCCCCCCCTCCCCAGCCCCAGCTCTTTGGGAAATGCTTACAAGCAAATCAGAGTGTTCTGGATGAGAAAGAGAATGCACTGTTCTCCAAAGCACCAGATAGAAAATATTTCCCCGGCAGCGATGTGTCAGCCAGGATAGAGAGACCCAGGGAAACAGTTGGAGGTATATTAGATAATTCTGTCCTAAAGTTGATTTTTAACCATCTAGCCACCCATTACTTGGGACCCTGACACCGCTTACCTCCGAGGGTGGCAGAAAGCAAGAAATGCGTGCCGTACTTTTTGATCAGGTTCTCAGTAACCTGTTGCAAGTTGGGTCTCCTTCCAAGGAGGCGGATGTTCCGGATGAATTCTGGGGCGAGAGGCAAAGGCAAACTAAAGAAGTCCTTCCTTTCCAAAGCCAAGTTGTTTACTTTCCAGCGAGCAAACTCCCTGAAGGAAAAAGCAAGGGACACAGGAAAACTCGTTGCTTTCCAGCACGAGAGGCCACGATCTCAAGTGAGTGACATGTTTTTTCCATCGCAGGAGATGAGTCTCAGGTGACGTCTTCCCCAGGAGACAAGCAAACCTGGGAAGGGTCCCCTGGACCCTCCCATGACCCGTCATTTCCACACTGAGAAAGCTGTATTTCTGTTGTCCATCACAGCTTCTCCCAGCAGAGGACCAGCTTCTTCCCAGGCCAGGCCTGCCAGCATAGAGTGGTAGAAAGAAAGAAAAACAAAAACTGCCAAGTATTGCAACAGTGCTTTGTAGAGAGGTGTTGTAGTCACGACCGTCACTTAGTGGATGAGTCACCACATGCCTCATGGCTTCATGGGTAATGACAGAAAGAGGGTTCTAGAACAACACTTCTTTGCTTTCTGGTCCCAGATCCCTTCACACTCATGAAAATAAGTGTCTCCTTTGTTTACTGACTTTCATCTATTAATAAAAGTTACCATTTCAGAAATTAAAATGGAGAAAACTAAGTTTATTTACTTATTGCTTCATTTGAAGATAAAAGAAACCTATTACATTATAACACAAACCTGTTTTGGACAGTAACTATATGTTCTGAAACAAAACCAGCGTACCCAGAAAAGTCACACTGCTTTGTGTGTTTTTGTAAACTCTTTTCCATCTGTTTGAGTAGAGGAAAAATTTGCATTCTCAGATGTGCTCTGCATCCAAATTATGTCATCCTAATTGTGGATTTCTGTTCTCAGAACTCTACTAAACAAAAGCAAGTTTCTTAAAGGCAAGTTACAGTGTGGCATATGAAGGCACATCAACAAACATTTTAGACTCTATCACATTGAAATCTAGTGTGGTTTGTTGTAGTTTCAACCGATTTTTTTACCCTCTCTGATTTTATAACAGCATTGGTCATCTTGAAACTATTAGATCACTGAGTTATGCAGAACTTCCACATTTTGACACTTTTCATTATACAGTCTCCAAACATCATATTAGTTAATATCACCACCAATTTCATCACAAATGTCTTTAAATATTAGGAGGTTGTCAAGCTCACAATGACAAATACATGTTTGCCAAAATTCTAATTTTCATTTGAAAGCTGAAATTGTATCATTGGTAACAAATACTGTCAGTTCTCCTTATAGAAGTTAGATTACTTTTTTTCTTTTTTAGAAAATGTCTGCCAAACACTCAAGTCTGAATAACCATAGATTTTTCTGCTGGTTGTGCTTTCAAGAAAAACAAAAAGGAAAATCATGAAAAAGTTGCTTGTTCAGCTTGCAAGTCAATCACATATGTATTTTTCCTTGATAGAACCATAGTTCTTTGATAGCCTTGGACAGGCTTAATGTATCCTACCCAGTTCATCACACAGAAAATTAAAAAGCTATGTACTCAAGGTCAAGATGGAATGAAATGAATAAGCAGTACTGCTTTAAGGACTTTCCTCAATGCAGCTAGCATGTGTGTGGTATGTACATGTGGAGCAGGGTGTGCTGTATGTAGATGAAGGGCATATGTATACTAGCGTTTATGCTCATTCAAATTAAGATGCCAGTGATTTCCTTCACCTGTGCTTTTACACATTAAGTTCCACTGTCACAAGGGTAATGAAAAGAATGAAGAAGGCACTTATGTTGAAAAAACCCATTCCAGAAAATAGCCAAGTTTTATACTAGTCTCATCTAAGATTTTAATCTTAATGCTATGTAATTCATAGGTGAGTTTTTTTTTTTTTTTTTTTGTCGGTCATGGGGCCTGAACTCTGGGCCTGGGCGCTGTCCTTCAGCTCTTCAGCTCAGGGCCAGCATACTACCACTTGAGCCACAGCGCCACTTGTGGCTTTTTCTGCTTTGTGGTGCTGAGAAATCGAACCCAGGGCCTCATGCATGCAAAGCAAGCACTGTACCACTGAGCCACCTTCCCACTCCAGGTCAGAGATTTCTAAGGGGAATTTGTCCTAATGGCTTGTAAAGGACCACATCCATGTGGGAAAGCTATTTCCCAGAGTTTCCCATAGTACATGGAAAAGGACCAGCACCACTGGCTTAGAAAGCAACCATGTGTAGAGTCCTGTCCCTCCTCCATCCCTCCTGACCCTGCTCATTGCAATCTTGCTAAACTGTGATCTAATCTTCCCCCCAAACCAAAGAGTATGGAGCTGCAGCAAATTTAAAGGATTGAAAGTAAATAAATGAAAATCCATGTCCCATTTAAGTCTATAGCCTCTCCCACCCTACACACACACACACACACACACACACACACACACACACACACATACACACACACACACACACACACATCTAACTCAGGAGGCCAAGATAATGGGAGGAGTACATAGCAAACATCACTAGGCAAACAAAGGACAATGGTGACTAATAATTCAGGGTTTTCAATAAAGTCTTTAAAAATTCTTGCAGTGTGGCTTTATTTATCTAAGCAGGCAAGTTCATAATAATATAGTATCAGTTATTTCTTTTGTGCAGGAAATACTAAACTTTAAAGTACAGGGTATCTGTCAAAAAACCATTTTCTCTTTCAAATAGTGCTGCTGAGTTTAAAAACAGAACAAAACAAAACAAACAAAAACCAGTTATGCTGGGTGCCTGTGGTGCACACCTGCACTCTTAGCTGTCTGGGGACTGAAATGGGGAGGATCAAGGCTCCAGGTCAGCTTAAGCAGAAAAGTCTAGGAGACTCCATGGAGAGAAGGTACACAGGGTGGTGACGTGTACCCGGGTAGGAAGTGAGACTGTATCTCAAAATAACCAGCAAAAAACAAGGGTAGAGGCAAACTGAAGTGTAGAGTACCAGCCCCACAAGTATGAAAGCTGTGAGTTAAAACTCTAGTCACACACACACACACACACACACACACACACACACACCCCACATGACTACTGCCAATACCACCACCACCAACAACAAAACCCAGTTTCTCAATCTCATTTCTCATTGGTTGGATTTAGGGGTCATCAGAAACAGATGCTGTGACATTTCATTTAGGACTACCAAATCTTACCTTCTGACAAGCATTTTCTGGCCATCCTATCTCAAAGCGTGCCCTCCCTTACTGTGTGTTTCTATGCTCTGTTCTATGCACTCATCTCTACCATTCTCTTCTTATACAATTAAAACTCTGCGTAGGAATGTTGTTTGTTTTACTTTATTCACCTCTATCTCCAGCAGTAAAATGATAAGTAATCTAGCAATTGAACAGTACAAGAGTTCCAACATTTTCCTTCCTTCCTTCCTTCCTTCCTTCCTTCCTTCCTTCCTTCCTTCCTTCCTTCCTTCCTTCCTTCCTCCTTCTTTTTCCTTCCCTTCCCTTCTCTTCTTCCTTCCTTCCCTTCCTCCTTCCCTCCCTCCCTTGTTTCTTCTTCTCCTTATCATTCTTTCTTGGTACTATGGATTGAACTTAGGGCCTTACTCTCACTTGGTTTGCTGAGCTGGTGCTTTGCTATTTGTGCCACACATCCAGTCTGACATTTTGCTGCTTAATTGAAGATGAAGTTTGTGGACTTTTCTGCTTGTGCTGTCTTCAAACTACAGTCCTCTGGGTCTCAGCCTCCTGAGTAACTGAGTCTGGTAACTAGCATGAGCCACCAGGGTCCAACTTCTAATATGTCTTTGTTGAATGACTGAGTCTCAAGTCACTTATTTCACATCGCATCACTCCTAATTGACTAGTTGTTTGCAAGTTACAGAACAATCGATTAGAAATAGTTTTAGAATGAAAATATGGGAAGCAACAACCAATTAGTGATTGATCTGAAATGAGATAAAGTATTGTAAATGTGTATGTGTGTGTATATATATCAATGAGACAATTAGGTTTGATTTATAAAACTGTAGCAGGAATAATTTTGTGCAGTTGAAAACATAAATCAAGATACTGCTCTATATATTTTTGCTTTGCCTGAGTCCTCTTATTATTGTCTTCAACAGACATGGACAGCTTTTAATGACTGTCTACTGGTCACACTCCCAAGCCCAATGAATGAAGGAGTCTCTCCATTAGATTCTGCTGTAATTTACACTTATATATTAATGATCACCAGGTCTGTTTCTCTATAGTGAATCTTGCAAGCTTCTGTCACATTCATTGTGTTAGAGACTTCCCAAGGAAACAATAATCTTAGAGCTTTGCACTTCTACTCACTTCAACATCAGATTTGGGAAGTCATATATTTCATTCAAATCAATAGTTTTTAGGGCATGATAGAATCAAAGCTCAGAAAGTTAATTGGCCCAAGATCACACAACTACTAGAGGAAAGCCTCGGTTGTTAGAATTGGAAGAGACATGTGAGTACCATTTGCCAGGCTTTTGAACATTATGAGGTACATGGAAAACTCCTTTGATTTGACACACTGGAGTCTGGAAGCTGCTGCTCAGGGTAGAGGAGATCAGAGCTAGAAATCTGCTTCTCTAGTTCTTACTCAATTGCCCCAACAACTGAGGAAGTGGCGGGGGGGGGCAGGTTGTCAATGAATCAATATATCTACAATCCATTAGCAGAATGCCCTGATGCCAGTGTGCACACTGATCAAGAAGTCAGTTCCAATTCTCTTCTGTTATAAGCAAACCATGGAACCGAGAGGCAAGCTGATTGCCTAAAGCAATACAACCAGTTGATAGCTGAACCAGAGCTGCTACCACCCTGACCTTTCCTCAGTGCTCTGAGCAGCAACTGTGATGATGGTGGTGATTATAACAGTGAAAACCCAGAGAGGTTAAGAAAGTAGCTAGCATGGAGTCCCAGTTAGTGAAAGTGTTGAGGTTAAAACCCAAAGCTAGTGTTTGAGGTCAATACCGTATTGCTATTTGTACAAGTGTTTTCCCTTGTGTGGATGAAGTTAAGTGTATTTTATTGCACTCTAATACTCTTTAAATGTTTGTTGCATTGGAACAAAAATAGTTTCATTACCCAGGACATTCCATTTCTTTAATTATCTAAACAAACCATG